TGCACGGCTTCTGCGGACTCAAGATAGCGATTTGAATTCCAAGAGACATCGTAACCCACTTACGGCAGTGATTTCAAAGACTGCCTATCGTTACAGGAATGCACGGTTGAAAAGAGCCTCCTTGAGGACATCCTCAAAGGAAACTCATTACGCTCATGTCGCTGATAAGCTCGAAACGTGGATAAATAGGATAAAAGTGAAAAAAAAAACGTAAGGTAGATGATTATTCCGTTTTCTCTATAAATCCAACGATAAAAGAGACCTAAAGATTTATCTAACAACTTCAATTTAACGAAACATGTTGATGTTGCTTTAATTTGATTATCGCTCATGTATGCTTATGTACTGAACGATTTAAACTACATTTCTCTGACCGATGAGAGATTCTCTCATGTCCATTACACGACAATCACATTGCGATGACAATTATATGACATTTCTTCCCTGTGACGATTAAAACTAGACAATAATGGGAACGAGAGTGGCCAAATTGTCGAGAAAATGTAATTTCATCACGAGACTACTAATTAATTAAGGAACAATGAATTCAAAGAGTGTATGAATATTCGCGAAAACAAAAAGAATGCGCATTGTTTGTGAAGTTAATGACTTAATATGCTATTATTTTTCTGTTAAAGTTTTTTACAATATTCATGTAGCACAATATCAGAAATTCTTAAACAATATAATAAATGACAAACAAGAAAAATTTATTATCGATGTTAATAATACACTCGTTTTTCATATGTAAGGTTAAATTTAATAAGTAAGTTACATTATCACGTCTGTAATATTTTTAAATTATATTATATACACGTAAATTATTCTTCTGAATAAGCAGAAATTATTTTTTTATCATTAAAAAAAAATATAACTTTGTAATTGCTAAAAATAGAGCTTAGATATTTTTCTGAATACTTACGCCACTGGCCAAGCAGGGGGGATATCGTCATATCCCGGACGAAGACAGGAAACCTCCAAGTAAAATCCCCCTTCGGTCGTACGCACGTATGCGTCAACGAGCATCGGCGTACGTTTGATTGTAAATGAAAGCAGGAAAGAAGCAACGCGAGCGAAAGCGGAGCGATGAACAGCGAGAGAACGTGCGATTAACGTCAATAAATATTTTTGACGGATGACGGAGAAAGCGGGGTAGTTTAATTTAGAAATATTATCAAAGCCTGAAACATTTAATTTAAATGTTCGATTCCGACATCGATTCTGATATTGATTTAATTAATGTCAATAAAAAAGACAATTGTTTTACGTAATTATCCAGACAATGCAGTTATTAGAACTAGAAAATTACAGATCTATATCACAGATCTATGTCATTTTAAGTATTAACCCGAAATCATATAAACGTCTTAGCATGAAAGCAATAAATTACGGACGTGCTGGGATTGACCCAGAAAATCGAAAATTGCGGCACAAAGTGGATTCCTAATTGGAGCGAACGGCCCGCGTGGCATTGTAAAACTGCTAAAGTTCTGACTGCACGCACGGTTGCCGCGGTTCTAATTTCACACACACACACACACACACATATATTCAGCACATATGTACACCAAGTGCATTTGAGATTCCACGGACACGGTATCTGTCTCAGTACCCTTAACATTTAGCACGTGACGTAACGCTGATAGTTGCCTTATCTTACAACTGGCAAGTAGATAAAATATCATCCATTCTGCATTTTATGCATAGCATCAATGAAAGATATTATTTTCGTGTGTGTGCGCGCGCGCGCGCGCGCGCGCGCGCGTGTGTGTGTGGTGTGTGTGTGTGTGTGTGTGTGTGTGTGTGTGTGTGTGTGTGTGTGTGTGTAGTCACAAACGAGAGATAATCTGTTGTAGCTAAGAACTAAATATCTTCAGTTCTTGAATCTGAATATTAGTAACACTGACTGAAAATTATTATCATTATTATTATTATTTGAATTGAAACTTGCGCGCTAACAGACTAATAATTTCGCAAGGTGCTCCGAAATTTTGCAGCTATTATATTATTTTATTCGAGGAATTACAGAGATAAGCGATGTCTCGTTTAGTTACTTCACATTTAAATAAGCTGATACTGCATGTATAGTTCGTATAGAATATTGAAGTTCACTTGAGTTACAAGTGTTCTGATCCTCGTATCGTTCTCGAATCTGGAAAATATAAATCGTTGAACTAACGTTTAAAAGTGTTTTCCGATATCTTTTTTATCAACAAGTTTGTCGATTACTATATATTTCATCAGCGCATTAATCTCGCGACGCTTGTTTTTTTGAGAATGTTTAAAATTCAGTTTTTTTCATTTTATCCGTTCGTCGAATGCAGAATAATATTATGATGCTTATAATCTTTATATTTACACTGCAATGTTAAAATTGAAATAAAAAAGCGCGTTGTCTGTTTAAAATGATTTTTAAATTTCTATTTACAATTAAAATTTATTTTTCAAAGCTTCTATTTTTTGAATTTATAATACTGAAGTATAATATTGAAGTTATAAATATTCCAATTTAACAATGTAGCTTTAAAAAATTGAAAGAATTAATATTTTGAATTATATTAATTACATTATATTATTAAAGTTTTATACATTTCTATTTTATATAGTTTTTAATAAAATTATTATTCCAATCTTGCACTTTTTCGTTAAAAGATTTTTGTAAATGATTTAAAGCAGTAAATTTAAATTCAAATGGAAACCCAGTTGCCATCCGAAACGGCACGTTTGGAGAATCGATTTTCGCATGATTTATATAAGATGCGGAATTTTCGATGATACCATCCGATCGATGAAACACGCCATCAGCAGTTGATGAATCTGCGCTTATGCTTTCCCCCTTTGCGTTCCTGGCGAACGATCGAGTGACCTACTTGCTAATTGTCAGCAGGTACGCCCATGCTCTAATTAACGTCAAAAATCAATATAGCAATTAAATAATTCACGATCGACTTACGAAGAACAAATTCATAAAGTTAAAATATCAGCTTGTAATAAGATTTAGCTTGGAATAAAATAATCCAAGATTCAGTCACTTTGCGAAATGAAACTTTAATCAGTAAGCATAAACACAGGCGTTACATTTTATACGTTATTTTAATCCAACGAAATGGAGTGAATTGAAAAAGCGGCAAAGTATTTCCAGAAAATAAAAAAAAATGTTCTCATCCGAGAAATTGATGTCCGCCGCTGTTGCATCATGATTACATTTACGACTGACGGATTTATGCGTCAAATGCGGTTTCCAAGTTCAAATTCCCGGCGCAGGAAAAGGAGATAACAGGAAAATCGTTCGGCTATTTCACCGGTGATGTTAATCGTTTTAACAGATAGAATCTTGCTCCGAACGACGTGCAACCACGCTCGAATCATTCTTCTCGTTTAGAGATTTGCGGTTTCCTTCATGGTGTAATATAATAAAAAGTTCTTCCTCCGCGAAAGCGAGAATCGTTTTCGGTACAAAGCTTGCTCTTGTGTTTCGTGCATTAATGCAAAAAGGGATTCTCAAAAAATTCTCTAATCGATAATTGCATTATTATTATTTTGAAAAAAATGGAATTATCGACGTATAGCATATGTGTGTTGAATGTTGATTACGTGAGAGCCGTACAATAAAATCGCGTGCATTTCACGCATTGCGTTTGCGTGATTGCGAAAATTAGTTCGTCGAGATATCACGGTAGAACTCAAATCGTAAGGAATCTTGATAAATCGTTTAATATAGATAAATCTTATACGTATATTTTGCTCCGTATTAATTAAACGTTTTCCTTGACGCGTTTCATCCTTTCTCTCATTTCGAAGCAATTAGATTCCTGATTATCAGCTTTTTTCTGCTGAAATAGCCATATTTTTCGTTATTATACCGAATTAAGTTCAATAAATTTCCTACTTCCTTAATTATATCAACTTTTTAATATCTTTTTATTTTAAAATGCGCACATTAAGGAAATTTTTGTATAAAATAACAACACACGAAGAATTTCTCTATTTAATTTTCAAATTTTCCAAAAGCATAGGAGAAATGTGAGGAAGCCGGATCTCTTATCGCATGTTATAAGGCTGAATATTTGCAATATAACGTGTACGCCAAGTATCACTTCTTTCGCTTTCGTGCCTTATTTTTCGCGTGTATGAAGCGAACGTGTTAGAATTTACCTATATGTGAAAATTAATTCCACGAAAGTCCGTAATACATACAAATCCTGCAAATCATTGAATATGCAGAGGACTACGGAACTGAGGAGCGATACGTCATCAAATCGTGTGCAAATCATTCAAGCGGAGATTATATGATCGAGCAATGTGTCGATCGCTGTTCAGGGCTACAATTTCAAGTTCGTGAATCATTTCCTGCATTTATTATTACGTTCTTTGGCATTGAAAGATTTTTATCGTGACATGCATACGGAAGTGGTTCTTTTAACAATAATACAGACTTAATTATTCTAACGTTTTCCTTTTTAACTGTATATGACGCGTATTATTTTTCTAGAGATATTTATCGCGGAAAGAACATATTATTTTCGTTGCTTCCTTAAGATTGAGGCTAACAGTTAGGGGTTACCGCGATAAAAACAGAGCGATAAAAGTATAATTTTAATTAGACACACGAGAACATATATTAGAACTGTAAATTCCGGGAAAACGAAGAAACGAAGAAATTACAAAGAAATTATTTATTCGCATTTTGCGATTTTAATGTTTAATACTAGAGATTTATAATCCTGAAGCGATAAGGTATTTTATAATATTCTTAAGCTAAAGAAAATAGTAGAGTAATATTATAATAGTAATATTCAAAATAATTAAAGTTTAATTTATCGAGTGTTATACATTATGTATTATCGCATATAATTATATCACTCTTCCTTTTGAATCCTTTAATTCTCGTACGTTCCACATAACCGTAACATTAACATTCTGAACGTTGGTCTCGAACAACAAACTCACAGTATTCGCAGAGGATGTACACAAAGTACAAAGAAAAAAGATTGATTTACCTTCAAACTAATTGAAGCGAGCCGTGACATCGTTACAATTGAGTTATTAAACGAAACAGTGGGACCTTTTCACGAGGAGCCATCAAATGCCGTCAAATGCCGTATCGTTCTTCTTAGTTAATATGCACTTCCGGTACCCCTGGACCGAGCAGGAAACCGCACCGAAACTTCCCGAAAGAATGATCCTAGAGACCGTGAAGGAATTTCGTGTTATAGCAGATAACGTTTTATCACGCGCACAAACCACACACGGCGTGTCCGCGGACTATCGTAATAATGGTTCCCTTATATCAGCTTACGATGATCAATTTTGTCTCCTCTCTGTAATATTTACTCAAATATCCGCGAGCGTGTTTAAAATTGTCAGTCCCGCTCGGTCGCGACAGACTATCGATCGAATCGATCCACCGTTCTACGTGCTCCTCTCACGCGAAGAGCTTTAAAAATCGCCACTCGTGATGAATTTCGAGGGGAAAAACTTGTAGTATTCTTCTCGATTGTACGTGTCAGCGTTTTTTTAATTTAACTAAAAGTTCAATAGCGAGGGATAGGCGACGCTCAGGGAAAGCGCGTCGCTCTTTGAACGAGTGGCGGGTCCTCGATGCGACGCGGCGATCAATTTTTCGAAAAAAACACCGATCGTTTCTTTTTCCCCGTTTTTCAAGCCGCAAATCGCAGCACGACTCGGCACGGCACGGCACGGCACGACTCTCGCGAAGGTTGTTACACCACTGTCAAAGCGACGGCGTGCAGGCAAAGCCGAGACAGTTTCGCTCCGCGCGGCCAGTCAGCTAGACGTCCCCACCCTCGACACGTTACTGCCCTCCTGCAGTGTAGATCCACAGCAGCACCGCCAGCTGTAACTCACACTCTAGTCCGAAATTCGCGAATACACTGTAAAAACTGTAAGCGAAATTTAACATTGATGCGTGATGCGACAGGTTGTGACGTACTTCATGCTCTATGCGAATGAAATTTAATGTCGCTGGTACACTCCGCTAATTAACAGCTTTACAGTTCCAAAAACTTTGATCCCCTAAATTAACAACGAAGGAAAGCTTTATGGCTCATAAAAAATTGATGACACGATGAAGTATTTCATTCCAAGACGAGTACAAAATATTATTTGGTTGTATTTTAATGTTATTTTTGCCTGCGAGCATTTTTTATGGAAATTGCGCCTTACTCAAAGTTTGTTATAAATGTTATCATTATTAAAACGTTAGATATGAATAATTGAAATGTGAAGTTCACTAGAAAAATCTAAAAACTAGTAGCATCTAGGAATAGATCTAATCGCTTCTGTCTAATGGCTTATCCACTTCGATCGATTTATCGAAGCGTATCGCATAACTATCACATATTAGCGGATCAGCATCGCAGAAAAGCATTCCAGCGATAAGAATCGCACGTCAGAAGGGCAATGACTCATGAAGCGACGGGCAAACGTGAAGCTGGTTGTCCAGCTGGCACGGTAAATATCCGCACATGTTCTCGTCACAGGTGCACATGACAACGCGGGAATCCATTCGCGCGTTGAAAGAAAAATTTCAACAAATAACAATTTACAGGAGATACAAAATGTTTTCGAACAAAATGTCAGACGATGATTCCGCGACCGATTTATTGACATTTCAAAGATGATGGCAAATTACTGTCTTTAGAGTAATTTAAGAAACGCGAATTATTATAACAGCCCGAGATGCGCGAGCGGCATTCATTAGCGGCACGATTTATCGAGTGATTAGCAAAACGAGGAGCAAGGTGATCTCAACTTAACGACCCATCGGCTCGATCCTTTTTGTTTCTTTACTTAACTTTGTGAGTCGCGCATCATGCGAGACTGCAGGCGAGTCATTATTTTCTGTAATAGTAACCTTACTCTGCCGCGTGCCTTTGTGCAAAATCGAATCTGCCGTAGCACTCCCCGGCACCAGCTTTTTGCTCCAATTTGCGCGTCGATCGAATTTCCACCACCGCGCGCCTAGAAATATGAAATAGCGAAATATGAAGTGTTGACGATATCGTTGGCTTTGCCGACGATTGATAACTTTGCGATTTCTGATAGCCGCGATGACTTTATTTCTCCCGTACGGAACGAAGGTGTATCTCGTGGTGAGATCTAGTTCTCGCTCTAGTTTCTCGCTCGCTCGCTTACGGAAATGTGTGTTTTGCGTGGGCGGGAATCTTTGGCGGAAATCTGCGAATGCGAAACTTTCGCTTCCTTGCCGCGGAGGAGGCTCGCTTTCAAAGATCCGCGTTTCCGAGAATCGAACGAATAAAAAAGTATCGGTCGCTTCCTACTCGAAAGTGCTTCGCCGACGTGCATCAGCGACCTGCCTTAATGCAACGTGCATATGTAATAGCGATTAGTGCGTGCCGGGGTACAATGACTCGGTAAACGGCGGACCGCACGCAACCGATGCATGTCTTCTCGAACGTACGTCGCGTGATAGCATGTGTTAAAAAAAATATATATATATATATATATATATATATATATATATATCGTGTATGTGTGTATCCTCTCATATTTACGGCATGACCGATAGCGATATATTTAACAGCGATAAAAAAAAAAAATGTGGAGACATCGCGATTTATGAGAGTAAGTCATAAAAACAGTCTGCTCGGGTTGAAATATCAGAATCCTTGAAATCACGAGAGATCATTTATCAAAAAGTGGTTTGCCAAAGAGTTTAATTATCAATATCTAAATAGTTTTATTTTATTTATCTCTGAGATAAATAAATCTTCGTCTTATCACGTTTACTGATAACGTATTCAATTATAAAACATCTGTATCTGTAGTTGTATGAAATTTAATTTAATTTGTACTCAAAGAAAACGGATTTTGCGCCATGCTTTGACACCGCATTTGTGGATAATTGTGATTATAACATCGTTTTTTTGCGATTATTATTAGAAAGACGGAAGAAATTCATTCGCGTGAATTAATTTCATCACAACGGTTGAAAGAGCATCTTTTCGCATTTCAACAGAGTACAATGTGGGCTGCATTGTACTCCATTCGCATTGTTCGCCGTATGCACGATAACTAAACACAACTGACTATTCAATTGCATTATGCGTTTCTAATGTCATTCTTCGCACATCGAGACGACGTAATGAAACAGATATTAATTTACAAAATATTTATCTTTGTTCATTTTACTATGTCAAAATAGTTATAGATTTTGCTGTAATTATTGAAATTTTATAGATTTATACTCATTTGGACTTTTTTTTAGCTTTAGCTAACTATTTTTTAGCAATCTTAGATTATTTTCCATTTGACAAATACTTATATTAAATCAACAGTTTTAATATCTTTGTTAAATATCTCATGTGATTCTTAGTGATTCATGCTTGACAATTTACCTTTACATTAGTCAACATTCATCAATTTATAGAAATCCGTATATTCAGAAAATCCATCATCTAGAAGACATTTTAAAATTTCGAAGATGTTTGAATATTTAGATTAATTATAACGTTTTCGAAACATCATTGTTTTAAGATATCTTTTAAAATATTTTATTTGTATCGCATTAAATAATAATCTTCTTTTTTGTTTCAAAATATTTATAACATTTTCCTAATAATGTTTCGAATTTTTTAATTTTAACATTTATATAATCGTGTTAAAAAAAAATCTTTGAAATTTTTGAAGTTTTTTTAAATATGCATATTATTTACAGCCGATTTACAATGTATCATCAGAAGGTAAGTTACTAACTAGAGAAATAACAGAAATTTCTTTTGTCAACTATCAGTACATTACTAGTTAGCAACTGCCAGTAATACTTATTTATCTACAGATGGTAACCAGGATTCACCAGACAAAAAAATTATTTTTACAAACTATTTACATATTTTAATAAAATACAATGCAGATAATCACAGTTTTAATGAGTTGATATAAACAAGAATAAATGTTCGTGCAATCATTACAGCAACACTGATATTCGTCACGAGCTAGTCAATTCCTGGAATTGTGTATCCTCAGCAAGTTTTTTCTTCTTTTTCAAAGCTTTCATATGTTTTCCGCCTTTCAAGTGGGCTTGCCATTGATTCTCTTCAATAAATACTCTCTCACATACCTAACATAACAAAAGAGATTTTTTTACTCCAAAGACACATTTTTAACACGATCTTTTTGAAAAATACAAGGTATTAACAAAGTTTTTGAATTATCGCACTATTTAATCTCTGATTAATCAAAACGTAACATAAATTTAAATAATTAAATCTTTATATTGCTATAAAATGAAGCAAAACTTTTAGCCCGATAGTATGAAAATATTATGGAAATATTATATTTAAAAAATTACGTATAATGTAGAGAATTTTATTTCTATCACATCTCAGAAAGCAATTTATTTTTATTAATTAATTATGTTAATTTTTTATTATTACCTTGCAATAGTTATATATATTTGTACTACTATCGGTATTCTTTTGGTTCTCGAAATTCTCGTTCAATGGTCGCTGTTCCGGCTTTTCACCTCGCAATATCGCGGAAATAATCGCTGTCGCAGGTTCTAAGACGCGGTTGTCCCAATTTGTCACGTCGGTACAATCTAAAGAATAAACAGGAGGAACCTCGAAAAAAGCAGAGCAGTTGTATGATTTATACTTTCCTCAATTTAGTTATAAACGTATCTTTTTCGTGAAAAAAAAAAGAGAAAGGAAAAAGATAAACCCTTTAGTCAAATTGTTAATTGTAATATAAATACGTATATCATTAATGACGAGACGAGGTAAATGATTTACCTGCCGATCACCACGTCGAATCAGTCTGTTCATCACCCATTTATCTTGTCTCTTTGCATATCTCCCAGTGACGAGTTTTAAATCATCGATTCCTTGTTGTAATAATTTTTTTCCCTGCATAAATTTAATCAGATATCGATATTTTACTACTTAATAATTATAAGTTTCAAATATAAAACAAAAATTTGTTGTGAAATAAGTACATTTTTGTTCAATTTGTTTATGTTAATTATGCCAATATTGCTCATGTTATAATTTAATTATACGAAACCGAGTAAAAAAATTACGTGAGAAAATTTTATATTAAAAAACATATATCCAATATAAAATATCACGATTTGTTGACGCGCATTTAAAATATAAAATCGGTAATCGATCTGTCGACTGTTATTAAATTTTAATTCGAAAAATCTTTTCGATCTTTTGCGTCCATCTGTCCCTTCATCCCGTCTTATAATCGCACCGGAGATAGAATCACGCCGAGTCCTCCGGATCATCCGACAATCTTTGACAGCTCTCGCGAATGGTTTTCGTTCCGATATTAAAATCGTGTTCGCAAAAAGTCGCGACATACAGTCGTGAGAATATCGCGCGACGAGAGAAGCAAAAAACGACGGAGGACCGTAGGCGGAGATACATCGCGATACGACCGCGAGGTAGTAGACTACCTATTGCGAGTCGCGCGGTACATTTTAATAGCAGAAAAATGACCGAGGATTCCAGCTGCTGGGACGAATGGCGATCTCGGTGGCCACGCGCGTAGCTCGTATCGAAAAGCCATCTCACGCTCGTCGCTTACCTTCTCGCTCGCACGCTCCTTCTCGGACAGTATGAGGTAAGCGTGAAACTCCTTGAAGCCGATGCTCTGGAAGATGCCTTTCGTGTAATCGGGTGACCTGGAATGTAAACATTCTCTCTTGAATCGCGCGTACGGTCTTTCCTTCCCCGTCCCTTCGGCAGGGACTTCTTCTCGCACCCCCCTCTTCCTCCCGCCTATTTCGTTCATCCGTTTTTAATCGAGGTGTCGCTGGTGATCGATTAACCGAGATACCCCGAACCCTCAATTATGATGTCTGCACCTGGTGCACCGAATCACCGATCGTGCAATCGGAGAAATTGAGCGCGTCATTTTTGCCGACCTTTAAAATGCGGACGGTCTTTTAAATTTCAGTCGTGCCTGAAGTCCGTTCAAAATGGAATATTTATGGTTTTTTCGAATAGCCAAATATGTAAAGAATTTTAAATTACAGAGAAAGAGAGAGGGAGGCAGATCCTTTTAATAATAATGTACCGCGAAATAAAATTACAAAAAAAAAAAAATATATCAAGTGAAAAAGATATCGAACTCATCTAACACCGGTAAAAGCAATCAGCAAATAATCAGCAAATTTATCTAACATAGTTAGTTATGCAATTATTTTCATATATAATTACATCAAATAATATTAAAATGTTTCCCTTAGGATGTAATATTAGAAATTTTAATTAAACCTGCATCCAGAAAGTACGTCATCATACTGTTGTGAATTAATAGAAAAAAAATATTCGTCCGTGAATAAAATTAATTATAGAATTAATCGTTTTTAATCAACGAAATATTATATATTACTTAGATAACTTTACGCGAAGAGAATTTTAAGGTTTCTTGGGATTCCGATAGCGTAACGAATTGCGTAATGCCACGCGCTGCGTATAGCCAGAGGAAGTGCAAAGATAACGCTGATAAGAATTTTTCTTTGCAGACATGGTCATCTCATTGCAATTATGTATAATTGGAAATGTAACATCATTCAAGTTTTGCATATCTTGCGTCTGCGTTCGGTGAAGTCGTTTGATTAAAAATTTAGAGTGTCTCGTTATCTCCGAGATAGTTCGCCAATCGCAAAAAAGCTCAGATCGAAATAAGAGTTCGGGACATCGTTAAACTGATAATAAATACTACGAATAAAATTCTTTTCTTCTAACGTGATATTTCGTCATTCGACTGTCACTCGTTATCAAAAATCCAATGTCTGTCAGTTAACAATAGTTTATTCGTTCTTGTAATAATAGCACATATAATAGCACATATGTATATGTATTATGTAAATGTTTTATTCATTGATTTATCGTGGGAATGCATCCTAACCAAGATGACCGATGACATACGAGTGCGTGCGCTTCAATTTTGTGCGAATCTTATCATGCACGTCCGATTAGCAATCGCGAGACGACCTCGCTCGACGTAACGCGACTTATATACGACGGGAAAAAGCCGGCGCTATCGCAAATACGACTCACTGTTTCGCACACGTGTCAATGCCAAATGCATACTTGTGCCTTGAGGAATCGGATCCAAAACGTTACATGTCGCGGCTTTTGTACCGATATAAATTCTGAAGTATCATGTCGATGCCGATGATAATTCGATTAAAGGACAATAAAAGTCAAGATGATTCTTTTTTTCTCTCGAACATTACATACTGATATCTTCTTTTATCGCTTGCCATTAATATATTCGTAGCTTCTGCATTTCTTCTCGTGTAGGCGGTATCAAACTGAATTGAAAGTACTTCGTAATAAAGAATTTCAAAATTTTCGTGATTATTTAACCTTGATTTCATTTATCCTCCCTAATAAGGTTAATTCGTAAATTCGCTAAAAATATAAAAGTAATGTTAAATTATTTTTAGTAACAAAAGAAGATACAAATAATATAAAATTATGCGGTTTAACAATTTAGTAAAACAACGAGTTCCAAGTTCAACTATTATTTCTAATAGCTACTACATACTAATCAATTTATTAATGTTAATGTTCTTATTCGAGGTAATACATTAATATAAGCATATAAGCGACTTATCGGTAAAAGAAAATAGTATTCTCTCATTTCCAAAAATAACGTCATTTATAAGATTTTAAGTTCAGTCGGGAAGTATAACGAGGTCCGCTTTCTCACTCTTAAGCAACCTTTAACATTTTTGTCCGAGAAACGAGCACAATAATGATAATAATAAAGTACTGATAATAGTCGCGACGATATTTAACGGCAGAGACCACGGTCCGCAACTGGTAGCAGCAATGATAGCGCTTGTACGCCAGTAACAGAGTACTAGAGCTTGTGATTAAGATAACGACAGAGTGTCAGCAATCAGCGTCGCGCGAATACGTAACAGCTCTAAAATATTTTTACAACCTGTTGCCAGGCAGGCCTGTACAGGCCGCACGCGTCGCGCGGCATTACATTTTCTCCATCGCGAAATATAGAGTTGTCTCGCGGATATTACCGCGAGAAGGAGAGAGATAATCGGCATTGTCAGGATTTATGGTCTTCGCGAAACAGTAGCACGCTATCTTTCCCGCCGCATCTTTCTTCTTATTCGATATCCACGACGATCAACGTGGATCGAATGCAAATGAGAAACGTTGCTGTTTAAATAAGTAAATAAAAAAAAAAAAGACAAGCTTCGCGAGTTGAAACCTTTTCCGAAAATCGTTAATGTTTGGTCACTCATTGGTGTAGATGAAAGATACTATAAAAATCTGTCGATAAACTTTCACCGATAGACTTTTAATTGAGGAGTTCAATCGAGAAGGAATTTTTAAAAATACTGATTATACAACTTTGCGTTTACGATTTCCATCTTACAATTTATTTCGCCAAGAATTATTTTTTTACATATATTTTTATTGAAATACGACTTTGACATATTATCGTATATAAGGCAATTTTTTTTTTTTTTTTTAAAGAAATAGTCGTCCAATTTTATTTCATAAAATGTTTTAAAATGCGGATGGAAATTTTATAGTAAAATCGATAACGGCAAACTTGTTTCGTTTGAAGACGATTGATATCAGATCGAGGATTTCCGCGTACTCGCTTTAATGTGACGTACATTCAACAATCTTTCAATCCTTTCAAGGCTGATCGATTTACATTGACTACGTCGCTACGACAGTCACTTCCCGATAATAAAATTATGTATGCTACATTGCGCGCGATTACTTCATTAATGGTATCAATTGTAGGTTAACAGAGCGTAATACAATAGCGCCGTATCGTTTACTAGGATCCTTATACTTATCCCATTATAATCCCCCCCCCAATTATAATCGTGTCCATCCTATTGCAATCACACTTTTTACGATTACAATCACCCATCGACAAAATACGTTGCTGATCTCATTTGCGGAAGTAGCGCGAATTACAATGAAAAGATTCTAATCTTTTTAATTTTTCTTCGCCATTTATCCGCCAGATGTATCTTCATTTACTCGAAATTAATGATGCATTATACCAATTATGTACGATTAAATTGCAGTTGCTTTTTTTGGCGTCAAAATAATCGAATATTGTAGAAAGAATTTTTGATACAAATGTTAAAAATAGAATAAGTATATAAAATATATATTTAAATAAATCTATAAATATATATATATATATATATATATATATATATATATATATA